TTTCCTAATGTCTGTAATTCCATGGGTGATGGTCACTTGGGTATAGGATAGTAGGGTTTAGGGTAAAGCATAATTACTACATAATCACTGGCCTAATAGGGATTGTGCATAATTCTTAAAATGGAGATAGGTTTCATTTATTTTTATCAATAACTCATAATATGATGTCCAAGTCAGAGGAGAGGAGAATGTTTAACTTAAAGAAATTAGGAAGTTGTGATTTAAGCCACTTGTACGTTTTTGCATTCTTCCAGCAGTGTATGACAGAGTTAATTCCTCCACATCCTAGAAGAGGTTTGGTCAGTCCTTTATTTAAACTTTTTTGTAACTTTGTCATGCTATATCACTGTTTATTTGGTTGCATTTTTTCTAAGGCTTAATGGTGAGCCATTTTTCAGATGTGCATTTGCTATCTCTATATTTGGTTAAATGTCTGAGCATATGTTCTGCCAAATCTATGAATTTTGGCAAGTTTCTTTAACAAACGAACAGTGAAACAAAAATGCAGGTTAGAATTTCACTCATTTTGTGTCTTTTTTGCTTTGTAGGATAAGTGTTTTTCATATTGGAAAAAAATAAAATAAACAATTGAATGAAGATAAGGGTCTTATTTCATTCTTTGGATGTGAGTATCTAGTTTTCCCAGCACTGTTCATTGAAGAGAAACTATCCTTTCCCAACTGAGTATTATTGGCTCGTTCGTCGGAGAGGAGTTGGAAGTATATGCATGGGGCAACAGGACTACTTGGAAATAGGTCATTCTTGGGGACATCACAGTCAGCTGCAGAGGTTATCAAGATGAGGCACTGAGGGGAAGGGAAAATGAACCAACTTGGTACTGATATTTACAGTCAGTTGAGAGCAATGGTTCTCAACCTTCCTAATGCCACGATCCTTTAATATAGTTTCTCATGTTGTGGTGACCCCCAATTACATTGTTACAAATTGAACATAATTAAAGCATTGGAATTAATCACAAAAACATTATGCAATTATATATGTATTCTGTGAAAGGGTCGTTCGACCCCCAAATGGGTTGCAACCCAAGGTTGAGAACCACTGCAAAGGAAGCACTGCAATGTGACAAGAGCCCTGAGTTGAAATTTGCATTAACTAGATGACCTTTCAAAGAATAGCAGCTCCTTTCACCATGAGATATAGTTTCTGAGAAGGAAAGTTTGTTGAGACTTTAAATATAGTAAGACAGTGGCTTACACAGTTCTCAGTTCCCGCAACATTGCCATGATGTACTAGTGTTGTTAGCCCATTTTATAGAACAGGAAGATAAGGCTTAGCAGAGTGAGCTAAACTGTCCCAAATGACAGGGATAATAGTGACGCAACCACAGACTGTGCTGCTCCTGG